GTGCAGAGCGGCCGGGACGGTGCGCGGCTCCCTCTCTGCTCCGCGGCAGCTCAGGGCGCTGGAGCGCGAGGATGCTGCCATAGCTGCGCCCCCGCCGTGCGCCCCTCCTCCGGGCGATCGCGGCGGCGCGGCGAGGCAACCCTCTAGCCGGGCACCCCCTGTAGCCTCCTGCGGGCTGGCGGCTGGCGGCCGGGCGATCCCGGCTCGGGCGCCTGAGCCCGGCCTGGGGAAAGCGTCCCCACGGTGCCCCTGCGATTCCGGCTCGAGGCAGAGGCTGGAGTCTCAGAAGCTCCCTGCGCCCTGCTCAGGACGCCTGAAGTGGGAAGAGGCCAGCGCGGAGGCCGCTCCTGGGCGGCTTCTCGGCCGCTTCGGAAGCACTGGTGGCCGGGGATGGGTTTGTGGGCGCAGGAGGAAAAACAAAGTAACCCTAATTCTCTACGCGGTGTGGCCGCATGGTCACATTGTGTTTTTGGAATCTGCAACTTTGTTCTAGCTCCTGCGGTCTGCTCACGGAGGGAGAAAGCGAGCGAAAACAGGCACCTGGAGCGGAGTGAGGCCAGCCGCCCTCTGCCCGGGGATCCGGGCACCTCTGCCCGCGGTGGCGCCCTGGTGGTGCGGAATGCGGCCAGGGCTCAATTCGTACATCTGTGGTCTGGGTGTGAGCAAAAGTGGGGAGTCTGCTACCTCTGAGCCCCCTCGCATCCTGCCCACCCACAGTGCTTTAAATGAACTCATGCTTGGTTGCCCCCGCCCCATTGAACTAAGGGCCTGTGTGCTGAGCTACCTATCCAGCCCTCCCGTTTTTGTTTTGTTATTTTTTTTTTTTTATTTTTGAGGCAGATATCACTGTCTCTAAATTCTCCAAGTTGGACTTGAATTTTAAATCCTCCTGCCTCAGCCTCCCAGAGTGCTGGGATTACAATGCTGGTGGTGTGGCAGTGGGGTTCTGTTACTAATTGGCTGGCTTTAATTTGTTCACCAGTGTAGAAAAAGGCAATGTGGTGAGAGGGGTGGCAGAGGAGGAAGTTTAAATAGAAGGAGCCCTTGACAAGGGAACCGCCCTTTGCAGGTACAGGAAGGTCACCCTCCATCCCATCCTCCTTTAGCCTTCCCCGCTCTGCTGCTTGCAGCCCCGGAAGCTGCTCCCCCGCACCCAGCCCCAGTTGCTTGCTTTCTTGTGCTCCAGGCCCAAGGATGTCTGCGTGACACCGCTCCTGTCCTGTGTGCTCTTTCGGAGCCAGCGCTTGCCTCCTGGACATCTTGGACTCCACCTCCCCCGCCCTCTACAGAAGGTCTCTTCACAGGGCTGTCCACTTCAGCGTCCTCTGCGCCCACCTGGCCACCTGGGCTGCGGGAACAGCTCCCTCCTCATGGCTTAGGGAGGACAGGATTTATTCCTCACAGCCTCCGGAGGTGGGAAGCTGAGGTCAGGGAACGGTTCTGGTGAGGCCTTTTTGGGCCAAACACTGCTGACTTCTCATTTATCCCCACGAGGGTCTCTTCGGAAAGGCACTAATCTGATTCATGAGGGCCCCACTCTCATGACCTAAAACCAGCCAAAGGCCCCGTCTCCCACCATTACATGAGGGGTTAGGATTCCAAAATGAATTTGGGGGAACACGACTATTCAGCCCACAATGTTCCGTGTCCATGACGTTCACCTCCCCGCCAAGCCTCCAGCTGTTGAGCGGCAACTCAAGTGTGAAGTCTCATCTAAATAACCTCTAGAGCAAGTATGGCTGAGACTCAAGGTCGAGCCCTCCTGGGGACCTCCGGAACCGAACCAGCTCTGCTCTGAGGCGCAGTGGTGCAAGAGACAGACGCCCTTCCATGCTTGCCTCCTCAGAGGAGAAATAGGAAAGATGAAGAGGTGACAGGTGATTGAAGGTGAAATTCCATGGGACGTGACAAGCTACTCTGCCTTCTGAATCCCCAGAGCAGTGGGACCACGGCAGGGACCCCTGGATGGCAGTGTCCCCCTCTGCATTCAGGGCTGCCGGCTGTGCTGAGCCCTCCTCCATCCACACCCGGGCCACGCCACGCTCTCTGTGAGGCTGGGGGACATGCAGCAGCGGGGGTGGGCGGGGGTCAGAAAAAACCTCACTTCCATTCCTACCATCGTCTCAAGCGAGCTAAAGGCTCGGGGAGCTCTCGGGGACCCCACGGTCCCTACAGTATCTCCTTCTCCTTGGTCACAGTCTCTGCCTTCCCTTTCTGAGCTGCAGGTCTGACTTCAAACTCTTCATCGCCTGGGGCCCAGCACCACCTCCTTCTGCTGTCACCCGCTCATCACCTGCAGCCCGCACACTTGGAGGCTTTGTCCTCACTGCCCTTTCCCTGGCTCTGGGATTTTCTAAGTCTGTCCCCTGCCCGGTCTCTCCCAGTGGTGATGTCGTGGCCCTGAACGCTGTGTCCTGGCATCCGACGGGGGCAGCGAGTGACCCTGCTGGCTTGTGTGGCTTCACTGTCCCTTTGTTTTTTTTTTTTTTTTTTTTTTTTTTTGGTTTTTCTCCGGTACCGGGAACCAAACTCACGACCTTGCGCTTGCCAGGCAGGCGCTTTTGCTGCTGAGCTAAATCCCCAGCCCCTGTCCCTTTGGTTTGATGTGACACTTAGTGGAAGCTGTTACCTTCACACTCCGCTGCACCAGGGAAAGGAGGCAACTTTTTAAAAAGTGAATATCTCAAAGTGAAATTACATATATTAAGAGGAGTATAATAAAATCTTCCAAATGAAAAATAAGCTAAAAATATCCTCCTAATTATAAAATCGCTTGGAAAGTCACTGAGTTCTGAGGCGTATAACCTGAAAGCTGAATTCCCCACGTTCTATTTCCTCTCATATTTAGTGCTTACTAGGCAACCTGTTATTAAAATCTCTGCCCAACTGACACGCTGCTCTGAGTCATTCACAGAATTAAATCTTGAAAAACAGTTCAAATATTTATACCTGCTGGCACATAGTAGGTGCTCTATAAGCACTTGTGAATGAAATGATGGTGTGTGTGTGTGTGTGTATATATATATATTAAAGTTATTTTAGGTATTTTATCTTAAAATTACTTATTTCTTCCTTTGGGTTATAAGTATCAGAAGCAAAGTAGGTTTTTATTTACATAACAACCTCAGCCTTGAGGAGTCTTTATGTTCATAATCCTTTTCCTGATCCTAAGGGGAGAATTTCTGGGAGAGGAAAGGATCTTCAAGATGATCTATCTGGTCCCACATTTATTTTACAGAAGCAGGGCTGAAGGCTGACTGAGAAGCCCAGGGTCTCCCAGCTGACCAGGTGTGCGTCAGAAGCAGATGAAGATGGAATAAGAAACTGGTTTTAGGGGAGCAGTGCTGGGGACGAAACCCAGGGCCTTGCAGGTGCTAGGCAAGTGCTGCACTACTGAGCCACTCCCCAGCCCCAAGAGCTGCGCCCTTCTGCTCACTTTTTCTGTTTTCGGGGTCACGTGGCATGCCACCAGATAGCAAATGTTAAAAAGACACTTTCTTAAATCTTACAGGTAATGCCTAGGACCTCTCTCCCTCCCTCCCTCCCTCCCTCCCTCTCTCTCTCTCTCTCTCTCTCTGGAGACTCTCCTCAAATACACTGTATGCTTCTAGAAACAGTCATTTGATAGTTTTAATTAACTGGGTCTTTTAAGTCTGTAAGCACAGTGGTTTATGTCTGTCACTCTCAAAAGACTCTTTCACTTGCTTTGAAGTACACATTTTCATGCACACAGCCAGCAGCGGCCATCACCCTGCAGAAAGCCACACCTCGAGTGTTCTGTGGGGCAGGCTCTCTGCCTGGCACCTGCAGGGAGGGTGGCCGTGCGGATGCCCCTCCTCCGCAAGCGTTCCGTGCGAGCTAGAGCTGTCACTCCTCTGCCAGTCTTCCTTCCTGTCTCTTTTCCTCTCCCTCCATGTTTCCTTAGCATGGCTCCAGGTGCGCTTCCCTCCAGCACTGGTGATCCAC